CTAAATAATAAAAAGCCTAGGAATTTAAACTGTAGTCTAATTCTAATTTTGAACTGCAAATCATTTTTTTTTGCCCTTTTTTAACCCTCTTCTCATGTGCCAGATTTGGGCTGTAACTTCTATAGAACAAAACCTCCTTTTTATGTTATTCTATAAAATGCTATATGATGGTGAATGCATACGTAGCATTAAGCAAAATGCAGCAGAAAAGGTGATTTTAATATGCATTATGTATAAAAGTTCTAGAAGTCAAGTTACCATTTGCAACATTTGTTTTATTCACTTCATTTGGGGCTGTTTGCAAAAAGGATCAAAACATCAATGTCTGCTTGTTTAGGCAGACAATTTATTTTAGAAAAATGTGGTGGTCTAAGTCAGAGTAGCATGTTTAGATAAAAAGATGAGGCTTCTGTGGGGCAATAATGCCATTTTATATGAGTTCCATACATCTTTCACTTGTTATTTTCTCATGTTTTCTAACTGCTTTTTGAACACAACTGTCTTTTGATCGATCATGCTAAAAGCCATCAGTTTGGAAGAACTTAAGATGTTTCTGAAAAAAATCACCATTGATTGTACCATTGTTTTTTTTCCATTTGAATGTGTTTATTCTGAATGCAGAGAGGCTGTTTAGAATTTGGATGCACTTTATTTCAGATTCTCCCCTTCTCAAGTGAGAAGACCTTGTATTTTTGTCTCTCAAGTCTCAACAGTGCAAAGAACTGTATTCTTTGGAATACCATTTTTTTATGGGATTCTGAAGTGTGTGCCACTAAATTATTCCATTTAATCATTATATTACATGGAAAACAAATGACATCACCTAACTCAAATTGTAATTGTTATTTTCCAGCAGTAAGATTTATACAGGTAACCCTCGACTTATGATTACAACTGGAACTGGAAATGCTGTCACTTAGCAAAGGTAGTTGCTAAGTGAGATGTGACCCATGTTACAACCTTTTCTGCTGTGGTCATTAAGTGAATTGTGTGATCATTAAGTGAATCTGGCTTTTCCCATTGACTTTGCTTTTTGGAAGCAAGCAAAAAGTTGCAAATGGTGATCACATGACCCTGGGAATATGCAACCATTGTAAACCTATGCTGATTGCCAAGCAATCAAATTTGGATCATGTGACCACAGGGATGCTGTGACAGTTCTATGACCAGTCATAATTTTTTTTCAGTGCTATCGTAATTCTGAACAGCCACTAAATGAATGGTTGTAAGTTGAGGATTGTTGAATTAAAAATCAGGACATCAACAGAAAGCAATTTGTTTATTGTGCTGAAACGAATTTTTTTTTTTACTAATTCCTTTCTAAATAAATTTGCCAATAAAATTAAAAGTGTTTCTGTACTAAAAGCATTAGGAATTCCTGTGAGTGAGTAGTAGACACAGTTTTTAGTCACGATACTTATATATCAGCATTTTCCCCATCTGGTAACAATACTTGATAACTTTATAACTCTGACACCATTGAACTATCAGGATCTGAGGTGAGATCCCGTGGTATCAGTCATTGGAAGCAGTCTTACTGTTTATGTGGGGGACCTGTTGATGCAACATGATCTTACACAGTTGCTAACCACCGATGTTATGATTAGGAGTGTATGCAGCATTCACCTAAATGGAGCTATTACGAAGCCTTAGACAAGTCTTTTCTTTGGAGGAGATGGAGAAATGTTCAATGATAGCTCTTAATAACTGAGTTTATGATTATTTAGCCACCAGAGTTAATGACTAACACAGTATCCTCCATCAATAAACATACACGTGTTGAACTGCCTGTTTGTAATATAGGCCAAATTTAAAAGTGGCCTATCTCACTTCATGTACTGGCTTTGCTATGCCCATTAAAAAGGTGGCCCTTCAATTGCCCAGTCATGCTTACCATTTTAATGCTCCTTGACTTCTCAAAAATTCTCCTGCTGTCTACCCCTGTTTGGAAATAAATCTTATTCCTTTATACAGGCAGGAATGAAGGACACTGCTCTTCCATTCTCTGCATACCATAATAGTGTCTGAAATATATGTTCTCCACTGCACCTTTCCCTCTGAAATCCTACTCTCTTGCTGTATCATGACAGGGGATGTTCCTGGGAGGAATGAATAAAGAATGCTTGGAATGTACACAAAAAACATACACTTTCAAGAAGTGGAAGACATGAAGATCAACTCAACTGCAGCTAATGGAAGTAGGTGCTTATATCAGGCAGCAGTAGTATAGGAAGATACTGTAGTATAGGATCATCCCTTTAGAGATAATGGCAAAAATATCATTTCATAGAGTGCAAAAGATGGCAATGGTAAACCACTCTTGTATTTTACCAAGAAAACTATATAGATAGATAATACAAAATAATTGATGACATGGAGCCTGAGGATGGGCCCCTCGGGTTAAATGGCATTCAATATGCTGTGGAAGAAAACTGAGGATTTTTCAAAGTACTACTGGTTTTTATGATGCAATTTCATAAAAGCCCTCAGGATTTGAACTGCTGATGTTGAAATGGAGACAGGGAGATTTTGTAACTAAAAAGACATAATTTTCATGGAACATGGGAATAAGAAGCATGAACATGGTAAAACTCAACGTAGTAAAAACTGAAATGAATCAACTGCAACTGAACACTTTGGCATAAGAGAATTAAAATGGAGAGGAATTGGAAACTTCCATTCAGAAAATAATACTGCTTATTAATCCAGGATATCAAAAACAATGAAGAAATAGCATTGCTCTTATAGTCAGAAAAAAAATATAGCAAAGATCTTCCTTGGCTACAATGCAGTAAATGCCCAAATAATATCAGTTAGACTTTGCAGATTACCCTTTAATATGATGATTACATATGATGATCACCTTATGCTCCAATTCTGATGCAGAAGAAAAAGAAGTTAATGAGTTGAATAATCAAGGTCAATCTTAAATTGGCAGAACATATAAGCAAGATGTATTGCTTATGCTTACCGATTAGAATGTAGCAGTTGGAAATAAAGAATAAAAAACATAGTTGGACTATCACCTAGACAGGAAAAACAAGGAACATTTCCCAAAAGATCTTATACTCAGAGAGAACTTCCAACGTAAAATTGATATGTTAAAGGATGCTTATAAGCAAACAGTAAATAATTCAAAAAAGATCAAACAAAGATAGGACATTCTTTACAGTAGAGATGTCAACATTCAGGATATCTTAGAACAGCCTTGGCAGCCCAGCTTGGCGGGGAGAAGGGAGGTACGCAAGAGGTGGGCTGGTGTGCAGATGCACGTGCATACACCGGTCCACTCCCACAAGAGAAAAGAAAAGCCTTTGGAATGCAGTTTCATGCTCCTTCTCTGCACCAAAAGTTTTTGCAAAGGGATGGAAGGCCTGAAGCAATGTGAGATCGCTCCCCAGAAGCCTTTCATCTATTTGCAAAAGCTTTTGACATGGAAAAGAGAAGCCATTGGGGGCATGGTCTTGTGTTTCTTCAGAGTCATCGAGGCTGCCCGATGCTCCAAAAGTGGATTGGGTGTCCTGAGTAGGCAGCCTCTGCGCGTCAGAACAGATAGAACATGGTAAAACAGCTTGGCTCCAGGTTGTCAAAGGAGTGAGACAGAATTGTCACTCCTGCCACTTATTCAACCTATATGAAGAATTATATATTGAGAAAATTTGGTTTGAAAGAAAATGAGTGTGGTTTCAAAATTGGAAGAAGAAAATAATTTGGTTTATGTTAACAATGGTACTTTGATAGCTGAGAATACAAATAATCTGGAAGCTCTACTAAAGTCAGTCAATGACAATCAATGGAATTACAATGAAATACAAAGAGGATCAAACTAATAACAGTGAGTACAGCAACCAGCAACATTGAAGACAATGAAGTTGTGGATAGCTTTCTATGTAGGATCAACTACATAGACAAGGAATCATCAATCAAGAAATATATTCCAGATTAGCACTTAGTAGGCTGGTAATCACCTTCAAAGCTGACACCAGCCAGAGCATAGAAAAACTCAAGGAAACACTGCAGGAGATGTGGAGAGACCTGGCTCACAAAATTGCCAAGAGTTGGACTCAACTGAATGGATGATATCATCATCATCATCTTCATCATCATGCTGGTAATGAAGGCCTTGGAAAAGATATTCAGATGTTATGATATGTCTATATTTACAGATACAAAAATTGTGCAAGCAATGGTAGGGAAGTTAAAATGGGATATGATTTTAAAAAAGGATAGAAAGAACATTGAGATTTTTGAACTGTGGTGTTGGGAAAGACTCCCAAGACAACTATGAAAACCCAAGTAAACAAACAAATGAAACAATGCTTGAGTGACCAAGCTAAAATTATCATATTTTGACATTTTATGTAAAACATAGCTCCCTTGAGAAATAAATTTAAATAAACAAACAAGCCATAATTCTGGGAGAGAAAGAAAAAAACAGAAGAGCAGGATAACCAATCTCCAAGGGAGATGGAAATAGGAATATAAATAAATAAAATAATAAATTAAAAAAAAACAGACAAGAGCTGGATGAACTTGATTGGGGACAGATCATCTTGGATAAATTCTATCTACATGTCACTAAGAGTTGACAACTTGGTGACCCATAATCAATCATCACTCTATTTGGCAGCTCAAAATCATTTGATTTATTCCATGGACACTTGGCAGAAGAAGTAGATATAGCATAGAGATATAAATCAATCCTCTATATGCAGCACATTATATAATTATCTCCCCTTTGATTTTATTTCTATTCTGCTAAAGCTGACAATTTCTACATGCAAGAGCATTTTTATAAGTATTCAAAACAACAATCCCATTTGAAATTTCAATTCAAATTCCTACTTGAATTGCAGTACATGACTCTGTAGAGACAATAGAGCTCCATTTTAATATAGTCCAGTGCCACTTCCCTGTATGTATTTTACATCCCTGTACTTAAGTATTTAACCATACTTAGAAAGCAATCCAGTCAACTGAGATTAATACTATGTACTTACATTCAAGGCATTCTTAGCAGCTTCTGCTTCTGAGCGACTATCAAAGGTTACGAAACCCACAGGCTGAAAGAAGAGAAAAATTAGAATGTTTCTGGACTGTTCATAGTCAAAATTATCCTTTACTTCATATGCTACTTTTAATTCAAAAATGATGCAGAAAAATCTCATTTGAAATATTGATGATAGCCCAAATTAAACACGATTACATTGTTTTTAGTATCTTTAGTTTATGAGTTGGTATTGATTTTTCATTGTGTAGACTTTTGTTGATTAAACTTTGTTCTGTTCTAGGAATGTCCAAACATTTCATTTCTGATTTATTTATTTTTAATGTGAATTTTCACAAAATATCCCTTGTCATATGCCAGATGGGACTTTCCAAACATTTTGGAAGCATTTCAAATTTGAAATTCACTGTCTTGAACTTGTTACTCCTCTTGTTTCAAACTGAAGCTTCTCTCAAAATGCTCAAAGTATTTTGAATTTCGCATTTAAGATGACAGTTTTTTCAACATCTGATACTTGACATATTTAAAAATAAATATTTCGGACAATTCTATTCAATGTTGCATTCTACATATTAAGTAATTTTAAAAGACCGTGGTTAATTTTATTTATTTCACATTCTTGGAAACTTGAGATTATGCCTCCAAAATGAATATTAAAGATTGTGAGATTTCTCATCTGTGGAAAATCATTTCTCCAATATCAAAAGACTCAGACTATGAAAACAAATTAAAAGGAAGAAATGATTACTTAATTATTCCAAAATGCTTCATCTTCTACACTCTGCATTTACCAAGAATTAAAACAGGACTGTTGTTTAGACTAATTTATCTATAAAAACATTAAAACAAGGAAGTGTTTTATGAAATATTTGTACTAGAGCACTTAATTTAGCAGAAACTAGGGAACCAATCTTACTTCTGTTCTTGCCTTTATTAAACATTTTACTTTCAAGGTATGTAAACAGATTTAACCTAAGAGGTGAAAAACAATCAAAATGTTTAGGCTAGGTTTCTTATAAAGATTTTTAGACAAAAATCTGAAATTATACATTTTTAAATCTGCACCTATTGATATATTTTCCCATCTTTCATTATGACAGGATACTAGTGCACAGGCAAGATAATTTCAAATTATCTATTTCATTAACATTTAGATTAGTTACCAAATGAACAACCTTGAAGTTCTTTATCCTTTTTTAAAACTGCAGCAGCAGCAAATTCCTACACTGTATACATTCCACTGTCATCTGTCCCTTTCATGGAATCAAACTATAAGAAGAAAATCTGCAGTCATAGGTTTCCAATGACAGCTATTGCTAAAAGCCTGACAGTTTCACTTTTAAACCATAGAGGTTCTGACTGAACTCAATCCAAAAAGCAAGACACTTTATAGGAAAGTTTAAAGATAAACTGCAAGAAATGCAAATGAAAGTGACAAAGAGTCTTACCACTCACTACCTTAAAGAGCTAAAACAATAAACTGAGGAAGAGACAACATTAGGTAATTACAAGTACTGATTTTTTAAAGTTTTTGGTATAGACATCAGTTTTAAAAGCCTAATGTGAAATATAAATGGAACAAATGCTCCTCAAACAAGGAGAAAGTTACTTCAAAAAATTCAAACGAATTTGTCAAAATAGTTTGTCTTTAAGAAATGCATATTAGAAAAAGGAATATAAAATATTTTATCTGCAAAATATATTTCAGTTATAATTAAAAAGAGAAATGAATCGTTTTATATGTAAACCCCAATTAAAACCAGAACTGATGTTGACTGATAATTATTTATTTATTCATTTAATTTCTATAGCCACCTGTCCCAATCAATGACTCCGGGTGGCTTACAGTATAAAAACTATAAAAACAATTGGGCAATACGTAGGGTAAATATGTGTGGTTGGAAGCTATCTCCATGGGACCAAAGCTTTGATAATGGAAATTTATGCTCCAAATGAGGATAAAGTAATTTTTTACAAAAGAGTTATGAACAAACTAACCATGTGAAAATTGGTATTTAAGGAAAATTGGAATGGAGTGATTTTTGTAGGAGATCAGCAGGCTGAGCTGGCAGGCAGGGTTAAATGTGTTATGAGTTTGAAATCATTGCACAGTCATCAGAGATCTAAGTCTAACTCCCCATGAATTTCATTCACCCTTATTTAGCATCAATTTAACTTTGACTGTTAGATTCTTGTGTATAAGTAACAATAATAAACTCTTCAGGGCTTTGAACATAGGAAGTGTTACTGGTTCTTTGGGCTTCACATTTCTTCACACAAGGACAGTTCCTCTGAGAAAGATATTAAAATAGCACAAGATAAATTATCGAAACTTTTTTTGACATGATAAATAATCTAGAGCTTGTAAATGCATGAAGACACAAAAATCATGATGCAAAATAATACACTTATTATTCTGAAAAATATAGATCTTTCTCAAGAATTAATATGCTTTGAATATCCAAGAATTTCTCTATTAGTGTTTATAAGTGGACATACTGCCAAAGGTCTTTTCACACTTTAGCGTTTAAAAGGAAAATCAATTCTTTCAGATGGAAAGTAAACAAACATTGCAGCAGAAAGAAACAGTAAAAAAAAATGTAAAAAAATTGTTAAAGGCATTTTTATAGTAATTTTAATAAAGGTAGAGATTAATAATGGTTTGGGACACAAGTTACAGCTTTTATGAAGGGATATTTTATACAGCATGATAGTAAAGTGAAAAAAAGAGACAAGAAAATACAATTTTAGGTCAGATAAAAATTAAAGAATTAAAGAATCCCCCCAAAAGAAAATTATGTAACACCAAATTAAACTTTTATGACAACAGTGGTCTTTGTTTATAGTAGGGAAAATGAAAGTAAAAATAAATTATGCAAAACAAAAGAATTTTGAACTTGCCCAATAAGCTGGGGAAATTGTTGGCATATCAATTGAGGAACGTGAGAAAAAATATTAAAATTAAAACATAGAAATATTATATTAACAGAAGAAATGCCATCAATACTACTCTAATTAATATAAAGGAAAAGAAATCTCCCTAGGAAAGTTATGAACATTTAAAGAAACAAAAAATTCCAAAAATCACAGAAATATGGAAATAATTAACGAATGGATCTATTACAATAAGAAATGTTTATGAAGCTATAGAAAAGTCACAACAAGGAAAGCACCTGGACCAGGTGGTTTACCAGCTTGTTATCATATTTTTAAAACAAATGACTACAACTATTGCAAAAGGTAATGAACTTCATTTTACAGACTAGAAAGATACCAGAAAGTTTGATAGAGGCTAATATAGTATAAATACCTAGAGAAGATCAAGATTTGACTGGACCAAAAAATATTTCTCAATATCATTATTGAAGAATGATTGTAAGTTATTTATGATGATTTCAGCTGAGATAATGAAGGTGGTTTACAGAACTATAATTAGTTTGGATTTTCACCTAAAAGCTGTGGGACAATATTAAAAACATATGGGATATTTGGGAATACTTACAACAACATAATGACAGCATAAGAAGTGTTTTACAGGAAAGAAACAGTAGATAGAGAAAAATGGTTAACTTACCGAGAGCCCTTATAACAGAAACATGGAAAATATAAGATGAACTTAAAAGAGCAATTGACTGAAAGAGGGATTTAGTTTTTAGTGGTTTTCATATGCACAGTTAAGAGAAAGATTTAAGGTAGATAATAGGACATTTGGGATTGATAACAGATGACAGAATATGAAGTTTTAACTATGTACAAGTGGTGAACATGTAATTGCTAAAATGTAATTTAGCTGAAATTTTGAAATGGAGAAAGAACAAATGAAAGATTGCGATAAAATGGGCTAAGATCTTTGGACACGATACACTGATGGAACAGTGGGAAAATATGTGGTTAAAAGGGCTGAAATTTATATTGTTATAATCTAAAAGATGTTTTTTTATAAAATGATGTAACATTGGTATATGACTCCAGAAAAATTATCTAGAATGTATAAAGGTACTTTAAATACATGTTGGACAACAGGTATCATTTTTATTATTACTGGACTTGTAAAAAAGCCAGAAATTTCTGGGTTCAATACATGCAATGATACCACACATTTTAAAGACCAATATTCAACTAAAATCAGAACTTTTCTTGCTGGGATTAGTGGACATTCAGTTAGAAAGGATCCATGGAAGATTATTTTCATATATGATTACTGCTACAAGACTATTATATGTGCAAAAATAAAAAGACTCTGATATGCCCACAACCAAGGAATAAATGGTGACCATGACAGAACTAGTAGAGATGACAAAATTAACCTGTCTGATTAGAGAAAGATCAACAACTACATTTATCAATTATTGGAAAACTCTTATGGACTTTTTGCTGAAAAAAAGAGGAAAAAAGCTTGTGATTTATGGGTTTGTAGATTAGAAAGGGTAGCTTATAGAAAGAAGGAAATTATGATGTAACCTTAGAGACAGAGAGTGGAATACAGATGCATTTATAACTGCTGTCAAAAAGATGGAAAGTCATCTTTTCTTCCCCTACTTTTTCTTTTCTATTTGCATTTCTATTTTCTTATTTTGTTTCTTTTTTAATATGTTCGTATTTTTTAATCTTGTTAAAAATGTCTTCAATAAAATTATATTTTAAAAAAGTGAGACTTACATATATAACATTATCACAACAATCCTTCTGAATGTCAGTGATCACATTTTGAAGATGAACTGGGCTGGACACAATTTTAATTTTTCAAGTACATCTAACATACATCTCTAACACAGTGATTACTATAGTTAAAAGATAAGTACTGAATCAACTAAAAAGACTGCAATGACTCAGTTGTTCCAACCATTTTCAGTAACTTTTGTTAAAAAGAAAAAAAATAAAGATTACTGTGCCAAACTTTTATACCTACTTTATCATTTGTAATTTACCACATCTTAATAACCTCTTATGATGGTTATGATAAAGCATTTATTCAGTGTTAGCCTTACCTGCTTTGAGGTGAGTTTAATAAGAGAACCTTCATATCCCTGGAGAGAAAAATAAAAACTACATATGTACAAAATAATATACAAGATCTTTAGATCTGTACATTTAAATACTGAATATCAGCACATTGTCTCACAGTAATGCACAGCATTCTTTATCATTTGGCTTTCTTTTAAAAGGACAGCAATCATAATTCATAAAAAGATCTATTTCATATGGCCTTAAGGCAGATATTAGGATTAAAAACTGAGCTAAACTGTAAGTTATATACTTAAAAGTATTCATTATTATTGGAACTACAGACACTTCTCACTTACCAATTGCAACTGGGATTGGCAACTCTGTTACTAAGTGCACATGTGTAAAGTGAAAAATCACATGACTGTGCCAATATGATTGCACTTGATGAGTTTGGCAGTTCCAGCTATGGTCAATAAGTGAATAACTGTAGATTATTAAGCATGACATCACATGATGCAACTTTTGACTTCCTGCTGGCTTCCCCATTGGCTTTGTTTGTCAGAAGCTGCCTGTGAAGGTCACAAATGACAATCATGGGACTGCAGAGTGCTACAATCCTGATAAATGCACGACAGCTACCAAGTGTCCAAATCACCATCATGTGACTGAGGGGACCCTGCAAGAGTTGCATTTTGAAAACCTAAGTCTCCCTTTTCAGCACCATCATAACCTCGAACCATTGCTGAATGAGTGGTCAGTTAATGAAGATTATCTGTACTGTATTTTGAGTAAAGCATAGAGAAAAAATAATAATCCTACAGATCTATATATAAAAGCAAGGCCAAGTTTGTCCCAAAGGTACTTTTTTCAAAAGACAACTGGGCTTTCTAGGTGTTTTTTTTTTCCTTTGAAAACTTTTTACTTTTCATCCAAGAAGCTTCTCTATATTTTTTTGGATGAGAAGGAAACATTTTCAAAGAAAAAAACACCCAAGAAAATCCAGTTGTCTTTTGGAAAAAGCCTTTTTGGGACAACCATGACTTGGATGATTGAGAATCTCCAAAGACATGTTAGCTTTGGGGTAACACAAATAAGATATTATACCATAGGGGCATCCACTCCTCACAACTAAAAAGTGCCAAAATGACAAAATAGCAATAGCACTTAGACTTATATACCACTTTATAGTGTTTTACAGCCTCTCCAAGTGGTTTACAGAGTCAGCATATTGCCCCCAACAATCTGGGTCCTCATTTTACCAATTTCGGAAGGATGAAAGGCTGAGTCAACCTTGACCCTGGTGGGATTTAAACTGTCAAACTGTAGGCAGCTGACTGCAGAAGTAGATTGCAGTACTGCACTCTAACCACTGCGGCACAAATGTATGCCATGCTGTCATGAGCTCCACCATTTTGTACTTACATCATAATGCAATGCACAAGAATCTGCATGGCAAAATGCTTGTGTATTTAGGACTGTTCTATAATGCAAGGATTCTACTGCTCTGAAACCAGTGTTGCTACCCTGGATTCTCTTCACTCTGTGAGCTTGCCAATTAACTACTGATTCATATCCATTCCAGAAGAAATGCTGTATAGAGAGTGTTGCATTTTTTCTCCTAGTTCTAGGACAAAGGTTTGTAAACAACTTTGCCATATCTGATAGCTCCCTTGTGAAGTCAAGGCATTATTTCACCATTATTAGTTAAGATTAGTTAGGCAATTTTACTGCTATCCACTCGGAGTATACCTAAAGAGCCCCTCACCACCAACACCACATTCTGCAGACACTGAGGATAAAACAACTACAATGAGGCTGGGGGCACCAGCTGAACTATCTGCCAATTCTTCTGCATTTTGACAGCTATCTGGGTAGCCTTTCCCTTTCCCCTTTCCCTCTGGGTAGAAAGATTCTATGATAGAGTTCTTTGTTGAAGCAATCTAATATTTTCATTCCTAGCATGTAATTCACCAGTGCTTCAAATTGTCCCCAAGTGCAAAGGTATGTAGCAACGACCTTGAGAGACAGGGGGAAAACAGAGGCAGAAAAATGATCAAATAAGACACAGCTCTTAGTTCACGTAGCAGCTGCCCTCATGCGGGAAAACTGTTCCCTCTGGCATTATGCGAGGCTGGCAGCAAGCAGTGGCTAAGGGAAATAACAATGAAGACCAGGAAGCAGAGGAGAAGAAAGAGGAAAAAGAAATTTTTTTTTTTTGCCTCCATAGCCCATTAAAACGCTACGAAGCTAACCTGAACTATAAGAAGTCAGCTTTAACCACAAACTCTTTCTATCTGGAGATCTACGAGGCAATCTTTTGCCACAACCTTCTAGTGCAGAGGTCTCATTCTCGCGGCCCGTGAGCCAATCGCAGCCCGCAGGACGATATCCTGTGGCCCCCACCGTGATATGAAAGTAGAATATTAGTGTATAATATAAATATAAAGTATAATATAAAGTATAATACTATGCGGCCCAGCCTCACCCAGACTCTGCCTCCAGTGGCCCCCAGGTAAATTGTGTTTGAGACCCCTGTTCTAGTGCAAGGCTGAGTCATGAACTGGGGAGAGTGACAGTTGATGAAGGGTGTGGCAAAAACAGTTGGACTCAGCCTCCGGGCAGAAAGGCATGTGTCAACCCATCCATGGATTCTCCAATCGTCGTGCTGGAGAAAGGTACTGTCAGATTTGTAAAACTGATGTCAGCTTGTGAAGTAGACACCTGATGGTTCTACTTTATTGTAAGGTTACATTAACAGCCTCTTGCAAGTCTGATTCTTGCAAGCCTTAATAAAAAGTGTGTCTGCTAAAATGCCAATATTTATTATTAGATTTATCTCACCTTTATTATTTTATAAATAACTCAAGTCAGCAAACATACCTAATAGTTCCTCCTCCTATTTTCCCCACAATAACCCTGTGAGGTGTGTTGCACTGAGAATGACTGGCTGAAAGTTACCCAATCAGCTTTCGTGCCCAAGATAGAACTAGAATTTAGTATCCCAATGTCTAGGCCTATGCTGAGAATGGGTACTAGAATTAATAGCTGAGGTAACAAGGGCACCAGTGTTACTTGAAGAAGCTTCTTGGATGAGAAGCGAAATGTCTTCAAAGAAAAAACAGAAAGTCCAGTTGCCTGTTGAAAAAATACCTTTGGGACTAGAGCACCCATGTTTTTTTAAAAAAAGTTGGCAAAGCAATGCCACTTCTGAATCAGCCTTACAGAGAGAAACATTTGGGGGCTTCCCAGAAATAAAGATTGTTAGTCTCCATCTTTCCTGAGGCAAAATTATAAAAGGTGTGTTTAAATGATTCAGAAAATATCATGTGGAAGATACCTCAAATACTAAGAAACTGCTAATGGGATATGTATTAGGGATTTGCAAAGCATTCAACAGAGATGTTTGGCAATGTAGGTGAGCATAAGCAAAGCACTTCTCAGTGAAGTGTTAAAGAAGTCAAGTCTTCTGCAAGCTAAAAGTGTTGCAAATGACCTGGCTGTTTTAACATTTCAAACAGAGGTGTGCTTTGTTCTTTCTAACACATTTGGTGAAACACTTCTTTCAAACGCTTTGCACAGTCAAAATAATATGCATATAATCACGATGTCAAACAGAAAGGACACAAAAAAGAATTTTTCCTATGTCACCCAGCTCAAAGGGAGTGGGTGGGAAAATGTAATGAAGTGGATTAAAATATTTCATTACCGAGAAAGATGGATTTCATACATATATAGCCTAATATTATGCTTTCTATAAATGAAAATGAGATTTATCAACCCAGAACAAATAAAAAATATATGTTAGATTTGTACATTTCCATTGCTGGTATTAGAAAATTAAAAAAAACAGTAAAATATGCCTTGGAAGAATATATGGTAGCATCTAGAATATGTGGCATGTCATTTACAGATATCATGAACTCTACCTAATCTTTATCATCACCAGAGGCTCATGTATGTGTAACTTCATCACACCACTGTTAATGTTTATAGACATTTTTGGGGGGCGTGTTTGGCCAACTTTCAGTCTCTTTGAAAGTCCTCCTAGCCATGTTTTCAGTTGAAATAAGATATTACAATTAACTGTATTCCAAACTTTTAAAAATCCAGACACTAGAAATATTGCATTCTCTTCCAAGAGAACCTGTCAGACATTACTGTGGAAATATGCCATTTATAATAACAACACAAATCACAATGTTTCTATAAATAAGCACACCAAGGCTCTTAGTCTCAGTTTTGTCTTCCAAGATTGATAGTCAAAGAAAGTACCTTGAATGGTCTGAACAAGAGATAGAGCTCTCGGGGCTTGATATCCAGAGGAAGACCACTGACAAAGAGTGTCCGTACCTATTAAAAAAAAAAAGATTCACATCAAGAAAATAAAAGCAACTTTCAGCAAATTTAGTCCATCTGATCAACAGTAAGCTGTAAATTCTTCCAGTTTATTAAAGCTTCTCGTTCTGCAATTATACTTTCTTACTATATAAATGAATGCACACATCTCAATTTCTTTATGAAAATGACTTTCATATATTTAAGTTCCTTACTCCATAGACAAAATCCAACCAATAGGTTTGCAGTCACTGCTATCTCCAATTATTATGATTCTGTTACATACTCTTGTGTTTCCATAGCGTTTCACGTAAGTAAGCAGGCTGAAAAATTTAAACAGACTCCCCATCAATTGGGGACATGTTATGTATGTTAAGCTATCTTGGCTTATTCACAGGACAATTAAGCAGATTTGTTGAATTTATGATAGGCATATTGACTATATGTTCCCATATGTATTCATACTCATTCTTACATTCTTTTTCTAGATTATTTTGTGGAAAGGGAACTTCACGAGGACAGTGGTGTCACCCAAGCAGGAAAAGCCCAAAGGGAACATCAGGCCAGCCATAAAACAAACTTGCATAGGAAAAGAGATTTAATAAAAGGTATTGAAAGAAGCCCCCTAGGCAAAAGCCAAGTAATTAAGAAAGCTAGGGAAACAAGAAAAAGAAATC